ACAGGTCCCTAAGGCCTTCCTCCATGCTTGAACTGACTTAATTTTTATCACTGCTCGAACAATGAGTCCATAGGAGACCAAGATCAATGCCATTGGAAAAAGGAGCAGAACTAACGTGGCCACAAAAAGCTGGACTTCATTTGCATGGATGTCAACACATGCCAATTTGATCATGGCAGGCATCTCACACAAGAAGTGGTGGAGGTGGTGGTGCCCACATCGGGGAAGCTGAAGGGTGATGGTGCTCTGAATGAGAGTATTGCCTACTCCACTTAGCCATGCTATTCCTGCTAAGGACTTGCAAAATGATGGATGCATGATAGCAGTGTAATTGAGAGGTCTGCAGACAGCCACGTAGCGGTCAAATGCCATAATAGTTAGGAGTACACATTCAGTGGAACCCAAAGAGAGGGACACATAGAGTTGTATGATACAGCCAATGGTTGTGATGGTCTTGGATGGTCCATTCAGGTTCCACAATAACTGCGGGACAATGCTAGTAGTGAAGCAAAGGTCAAGAAAGGAGAGATTTGTGAGAAAGAAATACATAGGTGTATGGAGTTTGGGGTCCAGATAGGAGAGCAGGATGATGGCTGTGTTGCCCAGGAGTGTCAGAAGATAGGATATCAAGACAACCACAAAAAGGATTACCTCCAATTGTGGCTTGTCTGAAAATCCAAGCAAAATAAAATATCCCAGAGAAGTTGCATTGTTTTTCTCCATCAGCCTGTTAAGGTAAAAAAGCAATTTAGGCATAGAGAAATCAATGGAATGAAATATCAATATCTAAATGCTTGCATTTCTTGAGATAAACATAGATGAAGTTTTTGTTTTGTTTTACTTTTTAACTACTGACATTTCACAGAGAAGGAAAAATAAATTACTAACAATATATTCTTAAAGCAAAGACATTCTTTTGTATCATTATATTTTGCCTCAATAAACATTTGGCCCATTCTTCTTTCTTCATATAACAATTTCTATTTTTTGTTTCCTGATTATTATTATTGAAGATAGCTCTGGTGGCATAGTGCCTAAGGCATTTGACTGCTAACCAGAAAGGTGGCAATTCAAAGATTCAAATCCACCAGCCACTCCTCGGAAGGAAGTTTAGGCCATCTACTTCCATAGTGATAACACCTCAGAAACCCAAGGAGGGGTCACTATGAGTCAGGTCTGACTCGACGGCAATGAGTTTTGTTTGTTTTTTGGTATTATTGAAGATAATCTAGTAAGAAGAAGAAAGAAAACCTTCAGGTTTGTGTCACTATACCATTTTGCAGGTAGATGTGGGATAGACAGGAAGACATGGATGTTTAGATTAAGTATCTGATATTAAATGGATTATATATGATCACGATCATTGTGTCATATAACAAGGAGCTTTTGTTGTTGCTGTTATTCTATGAATAAAGATGATGCCAAAAACAAATAAACAGAATATATTTGTCTTCTATGTCTCGTAGACAAGGTGGGTTACAATAGTATCATTCTGATCCATAGTGACCCCTCCTTGGGTTTCCCAGGCAGTATTACTATGGCAGTAGATTGCCCCATCTTCCTTCTGGGGAGTGGCTGGTGGGTTTGAACCACCAGCCTTCTGGTTAGCAGTCAAATGCCTTAAGCACTATGCCACCAGAGCTTCTCCTTACTATTACAGAGTGATACAAAGTCAGACATAAATGAGTTTCAGTATGGAGGGAAATAAAATGATTTTTATAATTAACAACTAATTTATGATTGTTTACCCAATTAATTTCATCTATCTTAAAGTTAATGGATAAAAGATATTTATGATACATGCAATAAGCATGTCCAGACACACGATCTCAGACATGCACACATTTGTCAAGATAAATAAATACAAAATATTTCTGAAGAAAATAAAGTAAAAAATGTCTGATGTACAGACACTTATTTAATTAGAGAAAATATAAGGGCATTTTGTAAAGACATTAAAAGGCAAAATATATCTTCATCAGCCCATTTTATATAGTTCTGCACAATAAAATTTTAGATTACATTTTCCACCGTATGTCTTCACTTACTGCATTTTTATATTATTGTTGTCTTACTTCCCTATTATCTGCTGTTGTAAAAGTATCTTATTGATTCACTTACTTTTAGGAATAATGAATGAAGGCTTAATATGTCTTTTCTAAAGGTATCTTTATACTTTAAAAATAAAACTGTACCTTTAACAGAATTAACACATTTGGAAAAGCTTTAAATTATGGAGCTAAGAATGTTTCTATTCTTTTAGCTAGTAAAAGATCCTATTCAAAAAACATGAAAATCATGTTATGTACTTTCCCATATGCTGCCTGATCATAATAATGCTTAACAAAAATGCTTATTTATCCTATATTGAAGTGTTTTAAATATATATTTCAGTTAATTTCAACAAATGCTCATCTGATAAATGGAAAAAGTTATTCTCATGACTTCCAAAAAATAACACAATACATACAAGATAATCCTCAACTTACAATGTATTCTAGTTATGATGAACTGCATTCACAACTTTCTTTTTTAAATTGCACATCTTACTGTTAGTAACATGTACTACATATATTGTTGCAGTATATAATTTAAGAAGATGTTAGATTTGAAAGCAATTTCAGAAACAACATATTTCTCTTCAAATTTTGCAAAGGATAATGAAATTATGTACACGATGGGTGTGTACATGTGAGTGCGTTGTTAGTTTCCTTTGAGTCATTTCCAACACATGGAGACCCTATTATAACAGAACTAAACACTGTCTAGTTCTGTGCCATTCTAACAATCATTTCTATGTTTGACCCTATTGTTAGGGGAATTGTGTCAGTTCATCTTGTTGAGGGTATTCCTCTTTTTCACTAACCCTTTACTTTACCAAGTATGATGTCCTTCTCTAGGGACTGGTTTTTTTTGATAACATGTCCAAACTACATGAGACAAAGTCTCTCTATCTTTACTTCAAAAGAGTATTGTGGTTGTACTTCTTCTAAGACATATTTGTTCATTCTTATGGTGGTCCATATTATATTCAGTATTCTTTGCCAACCAAATAATGCAAATATATCAATTATTCATATACCAATTCATCTTCATTCTTCCTTATGCATTTTCCAGCTTTCACATGATATGAGGCAAATGAAAATAACATGGCTTTGGTAAGGCAAACCTGAGTTCTCAAAGTAACATCTTTAAAGAGGTCTTTTGCAGCAGATTTTCCCAATGCATTACTTCATTTGATTTCTTGACTGATGCTTCCATGGGTGTTGTTGTTGGATCCAAGTAAAATGAAATCCTTGACAACTTCAATCATTTCTCTGTTAGACATGATGTTGCTTATCAGTCCAGTTTTGAGGGTTTTAGTTTTATGTTGAAGTGTATTCCAGACTGAGAGCTTTTTTGTATCTTTGAACTTTATTAGTAAGTGCTTCAAGTCATCTTCCCTTACAGCAAGCAAGATTTTGTCATCTGCACATCACTGGTTGTTAACGAGTCTTCTTCCAAACATGATACCACATTATACTTCATATAACTCAGTTTGTCAGATATTTTTGCTCAACGTAGACTTAATAAGTAGAGTGAAAGGATACAAACATGACACATATTTTTCTTGATTTTAAACCATGTCTTATCCCCCTGTTCTGTTCAAGAAAATAAATGTTCTGGAATTCTGATTCTTTATGATGCTATTCCTAATTTGTTATGGACCACACAATCAAATACCTTTAGATAATCAATAAAATACAGGTAAACATCTTTCTGGTATAGTCTGCTTTCAGCCAAAGTTCATCTGACATCAGCAATGATACCCTTTGTTTTTCATCCTCTTCTGAATCTGGCTTGAATTTCTAGCAGTTAGAGAGCATTGACAGAGTCAATGTACTGCTGCAACTATTTTGGAATTATTTTCAATAGCTGGTCTGTTAGAGAAAGATGTGGCCATTTGCTTCCAATAATTATAGTCATGGTGCAGTTATACTCTGTAGGATTACTATAAATCAGAATCAGTGTGACAGTGACAGGTATAATGGGATTGTTTGTTAACTGATTACATTGTTAATCTCTGTGATAATGTAAGGTACTAAAAGGCAAGATCGTCATTCTTTTTCACACACTGATATATACCAGTATTAGAAGAGTGTCAGGCACATAGAAGGTACCCAATAGATATTTGTTTTATTCTATGCATATACTAAAGTATTTATTAGCCTCTTGTAAGTGTTTAAATTTTAATTTAAATTGATTTGAATGTTCAATACATCAGTCACATTAGCCACATTTTAAGTGCTCTATAGACACATGTGGCTAGAGGCTACCATATCGGATGGTGCAACTGAAAGCTGTCTAAAATGGTTAATCAATCATTTGCTGCTAACAAAAGGTTGGTGTTTCAAACCCACCCAGTGACTCTGAGGAAGAAAGACCTAAAAATCTCCACCTCTAATGATTACAGTCAAGAAATTCCTGTGGAGTATTTCTACTCAGTCACATTGGGTCACTATGAGTCAAAATAGACTTGATGGCACCTAATAAGAATAATACTATTCCAAGAAAGTGAAAAGTCCAGAAGTGATTTGTTTTATAGTTTGTAAAGTAAATTATTTGGATTGTCCATTACCATGAATTTGGATAACCAGGTAACTTCCAAA